CGGCAGCAGCACCTCTACAACCCCCGGCGGCGGCGGCGGCAACACCACCGGCGGCTGCGCTTCCGTGCCCGCGCCATCCAAAACCAAGAAGGCCAGCTCGGGACTGCGACGGCCGGAGAAGCCGCCCTATTCGTACATCGCGCTGATCGTGATGGCCATCCAGAGCTCGCCTTCCAAGCGGCTGACGCTCAGCGAGATCTACCAGTTCCTGCAGGCCCGCTTCCCCTTCTTTCGCGGCGCCTACCAGGGCTGGAAGAACTCGGTGCGGCACAACCTCTCCCTCAACGAGTGCTTCATCAAGCTTCCCAAAGGGCTGGGCCGGCCGGGCAAGGGCCACTACTGGACCATCGACCCGGCCAGCGAGTTCATGTTCGAGGAAGGCTCCTTCCGCCGCCGCCCGCGGGGCTTCCGAAGGAAATGCCAGGCGCTCAAGCCCACCATGTACCACCGCATGGTCAACGGGCTGAGCTTTCTCCCGCAGGGCTTCGACTTCCAGGCGCCCCCGGCCGCGCCCCTGGGCTGCCACCCCAGCAGCTACAACCCCCTGGACGTGATGCAGGCCGGCGCTGCCTACGAAGCCCACCACGTCCCGCACATGTCGCCTAACCCGGGCTCCACGTACATGGCCAGTTGCCCGGTCCCGTCCAACGGCCCTGATTATGGGCCGGACAGCAGCAGCAGCCCGGTGCCTTCCTCGCCGGCCATGGCCAGCGCCATCGAGTGCCACTCGCCCTACGGCAGCCCTGCCGGACACTGGACTGCCTCCGCGGCCTCGCCCTATCTCAAGCAGCAGGCCCTGCAGCCGCCGCCGCCGCCCGCCGCCGCCGCCCCTGCAGGCATCCACTCGGGAGTGGCCTCCTATTCGCTGGAGCAGAGCTACCTGCACCAAAACGGCAGGGAAGACCTCTCAGGTACCGCAGCCGCCCCGTCCGGTCCCTCCCTCCCTCCTCCCGTCCGCCGAAGCGAGTTGCTTCGTTTTCAAGGACTGAGGCAGCTTTCCTGGGAATATGTAAAGAAAATCCCCGAAGGTTTTCCAGAGCCAGGTTCAGGTCTCAGGAGGGCTTGGGCAGAAGTCAAATCATAGGCACGCACATACTTTGTAGCCCC